AGGTACCTATCTATTATAAAATTATGGTTAATAAAAAATACTTATGACTATAATCTCTAATGGGTTAGTCAGAGGCATTGTGGACTGTTGACGTTGTATTGAACGTAACTCTAGCCCGCTCTCTCACTTCGCTAAGCATATCAGTCATAACTAATATTAATTAAAAATATAACAATATATTTATTTGGTTAATAACGTAATAATTACCTTCGAATAATGCAGTTAAAATATACGTTAGTGAATTGAATGCATTAGTGTTTGTAGGTGCATTTATGACTTTTTGTATATTTGTTTGTTTATAATAGTAAAACTCATAAATTACTCAATTGATATTTAAAATTCTATAACCTGTAGAAAATTATATTGACAACACAGGCATATATATTGTTTAAAAAAATTATCTTTTATTAAAATAAAAATAGATCTTATATAGAGATAGTATCTATGTATTAAAAATTTGCCTATTAAAGCTAATATAGAATACTACTCTGTCTATCTATCTATCTAACAATATAAAACCGGGCCAGATCGCTGGTTATTTAAATTAGGTTAGGTTAGAAATTTAGTAGATGTCTTGTAGCCTATCAAATATTAGGTAGAATAATTCTTCTTGAAAAAAAAAAAAACTATGACCTTAGATTATATTTATTATTTTCTAATACCGAATAATCGTTAGCTGAGATTATGGCATCTATTTTAGATACATATGGACGCAAGATAAGTAGATATTAGGTACCAGTTGATAACCTTTTATACTTTATTGGAAACCGCTGTAAGATAATTCTTATCTTTATTTCATGTAGGAGTATGCATTGGGTTTGTATCTATACGAAAACATTATTAGGTTTGTACGTAGGTTGAACTCGGTATGAGTGTGTGATCACCCGAGAATGAAAATGGTAAGTTCGTTTATATGCTTAAAGACACCGTTTTAATGGTACAATGAAAGAGTTTGGTGACTTGACTTCTTTATGAATTAACTGATTCATATCTTAAATTTATGATACATTGCTTAGTTGTTAGTATTCACACAACTTCGTAATTTATATAATTTAACTTTTTGAAAAAAAAAGCAACAGCTAAATTTCTTTCTCGTCCTTTTTGGCTGAAATTTTGTTCCAAATGCGGGATAGAATCTTTCTTTATTTATTTTACCGTAACGTTTATCTAGTAGTAAAAATGTGGTATTTTAGTTATTGTGATGGAGTACTAAATTGAATATTTTATAGTAATTGATTAGATGAGCTCCTGTTACGAGAACTTCAATTGTGAATCTATGCCTATGTATTTACCTACCAATATTTATTTAATAATACATAGTTTTAAACTCATATTCATTATTCACATTTGAGATAGTGATATGTTAATTATTTGTTTGTTCCTGTATAACGTATTGATGAGTCAATTAACCATCTTAAAAATTGGATAACACGTAGAGTTTTGTATGTTTTACATATGCTAATTGCTATCCTATTCAATTAATACATCATGGTCATGTGGATGAATAAAACTGTATTTGTGTGTTTAAATTCAATATCGGTACTTATCGTGATCAATTACAATTCATTAATTGATTTTAATAATGTGTAGCACGATAATTTAAACTTAACTAAGAATTTGTATAATTTTAAACTTGGTATGTATTTTTCACTCATAAAATTACAGATACTATTAATACCTACAATTAAATTGGCAGCCCTATACGCAAGATGTAGCGGTGGCTGGGGCGGCGAGGTCGACGACCTGCCGCTCGCGCGTTCTGAAATATCGTCTTGCAATATCTTGCTCGACTTAATCCCGGGCGCCGCACGACGCACGTCTGCGTTAAGCCTTAAATGCCTTCGTATTTAGACGAAATTGCTGCTTGCTTGTATATGCTTATATCTACGTACTCTTCTATTATTACCTTCTTATGCGAATGTTTTTTTTTTTTTTAATTTTATTTATTTAAACTTTTTTTATACAACTTAGAATGGCAAACAAGTTGACAACCCACCTGATGGAAAGTTGTAACCGTCGCCTATAGACATGAGCAGTACCATGGACATAACAGAGTATATTGTTTCGCCCATGATACCACCCATGCGTTGCCATTCCTGAGGACTCAGGTGTTATTCCTCTGTACCCTGTAAATTCACGCCATATCCCATCCTTCAAACTGAAACACAGCCATGCAAACACAACTGCTTTACGGTTGAAACACGAATGGGACAGAGGTACCGTCATGAAGTGACGGAGCAAGAATACAATGTGCCATCATTCCTTTCATCACCAGGATGTCATAAGAGGGGACTAAAAAAATAAACTACAAAATATAAGGGAATAATAATTCGCAATAAAACTCTATAGTAATAATATAATAGTTATCTTCCTTTTGTGAGAAGAGACTGGTGTCCAATAATAAGACGTTAATTAATTATTCATGTAAGATAATAATATGATTTTATTATGGTTGGTGTCTTAAGAGGCGACTAAGGCAAGTTAATAGTCGAGGGATGAGTAGTAACGTCCGGGTAACAGCAGCCGTTAGGGGAGGTTTCCTCTTATGGCTGATATGATGATGATAGTGGTTTCATCAATAATACTTAGATAGGTATATTAATAAAAACATAATTATCTAGATATAGATATATGCATCTACATGGTATTTATTAATGTATTTAAAAGTGTCGTTTATAGATAATATCAGACCTTAATTTGAATCTTCTTACTTGTGCTCGTGAGAGAAAAATATGTTCATAACTAACTACATACTAACATAGCTGTTGCTGACAACTCGTGACATTGTACATGTGCTGTCGTCTTTCCTTTTAAAGTTTAAATTTTTAAAAATCATTTTTAGTGGACTATTACAGTATAAAAAAATATTCTGAATTTCATCTTTTTAAACTTAGCAATTTTGGCTGCGCGTTGATAGTCAGTCACATTTTATAGCTATAGATATATAGATCATAAGAATTTCTTTCAGGCGCCAACGCAATTGAGTTTGTACTTGTGTCTTACCAAAAATGTCGCGTATCATCAAAGGACTCGTCGGATCTTGTTAGGTCATCGACCTTCGTTTATTGGATCGAAGGTTTGTTCATTGCAATAAATATTGATTTACCGGTACCGCGAAAAAAAATTAAGTACCTACCAAATCAATGCTTTTTATTACCAAAAATATTAATGTTCGAGACAAATTATAAGGTTGGTTGGTTTATTTTATTTAATATATTTCGTATTATTTTATTATTCGTAGCTGTATTATTTTATTTCAGTTGATAACCGTTCACTACTGAACCTATTAAGGGTCATTAGATTTATCTAGATTCTAGAGAAAAGTTATAATGGCGCGTATAATATGTAACAACCATCTTAGCAAACATTACGTTAAGTCTTTAGAATTCGAAAATTATTTTTATTTAACCGTCTAAGTTTCTTTACTTTCCTTCAGATTAATAGGAAAACTCAAATTAAAATAAAATGTGTACATAGTAGATTTAAAAATTTCCTATTTTTAAAATGGATGCTCGATTTTATGTCAAATTATCTTACTGATATAATAAAATTCTAACTAGACAGTGTCTGTATTTCCATGGGAGTTATTTACGAAACATTGATATGAAGGGTCTTAATAAGAGAAATAAAAGCAAAAAAAAAAAAAAATGTTTTAAGAAATTTCAATTTCTTGACTGTCTCTCTATATATTTGTTCTGGTATTACGCAAAAATTGCTATACCAAATTGGAAGCGGTTTTCACAATTGTAACCCTGTAAAAGTCTAAATTAAAAATTGCTATAATGGCTTGTCGCGGCATTAAGAAGTGACCTATTTCATTGTTTTTCCTGCTTCTGAAATCCGCGTATACGAAATATTCAGCAAAAAGCCTAAAGGAAAAAACAAGTATTGCTACAACTACTCGTGTAGGAGTGGTGTCCTTTGGTGACAAGAATTTCTAGGCCACGTTCTTTACGTATGAATGCCAGACATTTCTTTGAGAAATGTAGAACGGAATAAAAAAAGAACTTACTTGGTTACAATTGTATACTTATATAAAAAAAATATACAGAAATATGAATTATGTACAGATCTCAATCTCAAACTTTAAAAAGTCAAAATAGGTGGATATACGTGATAAGTCTAGATATGATAATCTGACGAGTCTGGAGAATTGCTTTTTGTTGTTTAAAATAATAGTTGTCTATTTAATTTATTTGTCTAATCTATTAGCAGTAGATTATAACTTATAGACTTTAACAACAGGTATTATATCGGTCGCCGTGGTTGCCAGCCGGTGAACTTTATCGATTATAATAAAATTATACTCACGTAGCTTTGCCAAATGTAAATTAATCTGATTAGTGTTAATTTATATGCATAAAACGGCAGTATAGTTAGGGCGGAATGGTCGATTTCCATTTTGTGACTTAGTTAATTAGATACGCTACCTACACATAGCAACCTATCTACATATGTAGAATACGTGTGTATATACTCGTTAATAAGTTGGATACTTATCTACTTGTTTGCTAATTAGTGTACTTTTCTCTAAGTATAAGCTTTGAGGCTTATCTAACCTATGTCCCTAATGTAACCTTATATAACCTAAACCCCTGTCTCTAAATTGATTTAAATTAAATGATGGACTAATTATTATACTCGGTTTTTCAATTATAATCGACGATTAGTTGTAATAAACTAATTAGCTACAAAGCTGCCTATTGCTTCGAGTTAAAAATTTGTTATAGATATGTAAACTCTAAAGTCATAAATTAATTTAAGATTCATCTTTCTAGCTAAACTAACCGAATATAATAAGTATGTTGCTTGGGGTTTCGTTGGCCAGTCGAATTAAGACATTTCGCAAACCACAAGAAATGCTGAACCGGACTTTCCGTTCGTTATATTTACATAGCTACTAGCCTATAAATAAATACTTGCCCTCACACACACGTGCACAAAATGACGTTGTTTTAACTTTATTTTATTTTTAAACGCGCAAGCGGCCAGCACGTACCGCCTGTAATTTCGCGGTGTTCGCGGCGCGCAGGCGCGTACGCACGCCCGGATAAAATGGCGAACTAATTTCTAGTTGTAATTTAAAGTACATACAAATAAGTGTTCGAAACCATTTCTACCGGATATATAGAACGATTAATGCAATATAACGCGCTCACCCATGCCTTCCTTATCGGTCGAATTACGGGGACATTGGTTTTTATATAGTGCTACATAAGTCATATATAAGTACTTATATGTTCAAAACATCGTATTACAGTATGATTCAACAGTTTATGTGCTTGAAGGAGAGTTTTGGATTATTAGTAAGTAAATTAATTTTATAATCAGTAAAAATATTTTAATAGAATGAACTGAAATCAGGTAATTAATTCTGAAATACCGTATCTAATATTTCAAAAACACAACATTGAACAATAAATATTTTTATTTAAAATTAATGAATTAATAAATTTAATTCGTATATTAACATCTAAAAAATATAAATTTGGATATACATAGAATTACTTGGATAGCATATGATTTACTAAGTTGCATAGAATTAGCATATTGCGTTAACAAAGAACATGCTTTGTTTGCGACCTGACTATACTATTGTTCTCATTTTAACCAATTTTATAAAATTCCTAGAGAAGAGTTTATTGATTGAATAACTTGGCTTTTTTTATACACTGGAAATGACAAATCAGTTGATAGCCAATGTGATGGTTGTAGGGTAGGTAACCGTCGCATATAGGCATAGACAATATGAACATAACAGTGTAACTACATTCTGCCACATGTTAGTGATTAGGTTCCATAAGTAGCTATATGCGAGTAGGATAATGATATTTTTTTTTAATAAGGGAAATAAAATGGTTATTTTCTCTGTACTGTCAGTGTATGTTGGCGGGGTTTCAGTGAAAGATGACGATGAAAGCAGGTCAATTAGCACATCGTAATGAATTCAACAAAAAATAACTAAATGATTATTAGAAAATTAAAAGATGGTTTCCAGGAAGAATCGCATTGAGGTTACCTATGATCCCTCAATGCTGCCCCGCCAGTTTATACCGATAGCGCAGCCGAGTTACGATTCTATTATCACTCATTAAAAAATTCTATTACTAACAATATACTCTGTCAACCTCCATCCGATTCTCCAGGAATTCGATGACGGTAATTCCTAATTCCCAATAAATTGTCCTACTCAAATATCATCCCTCACTGACTTCTCGTCAGTGCAAATCAATAGCGCTGACGGGGTTAAATAAAAGAGAATATAATGAGAATAAATAGCTCCGTTGTTAGCAATATATCCAATCAGGTAACTTGATGCAGTTTCTCTTGATAATCGTTGTAGTTATTTCCAGGTAAATTTGCTACAATGGTCGAATTAATTTTTTACTACTATTTAACAACAATCTGTATAGCATAACGCTATATGTATGTTGATATGAAGAACGAATGGTTAATATGGGGTTGAAGTGGAATGCAACAACCAATAAATGATCCCGGTACCTATATAGCAAAGAGCAGAATACAATAAAAAATCTCTTTTGAAGAATTCCTCATTTTTATAAAATATACCTACATACCTATTAATATGTATTGTATTGTGTGTGAAAACAACTACACTCATATACCGTGGTGCGTGGTTGACGACCTCGACATCAACATCTGAGGTCGGCTGCTCTTTCATCTATATTTATTTATAGAGACACGTTCATAGGATTGTAAGTACCGACTTATCTACTAGGTATATTTATATATAATAACATATCTTTGGTATATGAAGTAGCTGTCGCCTTTTTTTAATTATTATTATAACTTAGTGAATCTTTGACTATTTTAACTATTTATCCAAACTATGGAGAGTTCTATTGGCATTACAGAATCATTGCGTTAACATTCCTGAAGATTATGATATAATGTCCTTGAACTGTATTATTTCTGTGCCTCTAGTGAGAAAGGGTATAACTCAAGTTATAGCCTTTTTCTTTTTTAGGCTACTTTAAATAAGCAAATTTTTCTCTTTCGAATGGTATAAGAATCGTAACGATATCTTTAAAAACAATAGAGATAGTAAACATGTAAAAGGCTACAATTAACAAAATATTTGTGGTAAAAAAGTCATAATTAGAAATAAAACTACAATATTTTACAAAAATTATTTTTGTAAAATGAATCAGTTCGATTTGAACCCTTTTACACCATTTAATAGCGATTATTTTTTTATAGCGTAAAATACACATCATTGTTTTTCTTCAATACTTCAATAAAATAGTTTTAATTCAACTTAAAACTATTTTCACATCATAATTTTAATATTTTTGTTAAGTGTGATTAGGTATAATAGAATTATTTTTAAAACTATAGGTTTTACACAAAAACCGACAATTTCATAAGAAAGAGGAGAAAAAATTACTATAAATGCAATCATTGACTTGTTCAATTAGCAAATAATAAAAGCAGCAGAATTTTTTTTCTTTATTTAAAATAGTTTTTTGGCTCTCCTGAAAAGTGACCATTTTGAATTGAACCCTTTCTCACTAGAGGCACAGATTTAATTACTATATCTATTTGTTAGAAATTTTGAAATCTTCAAATGCGAATACTAAATTATAAAATAAAATTAAAGCTAACTTAGTAGGTAGGTAATATTATACCTGCGTAATTAAGTAGCTTTATTTATCAAACGTGCTATGAAATTGGATAAACAGGAATAAATCGTGAGCGAAGGAACGAATAAAATAATATTTTATTATCTAATCCCCACGACTGAAATTCGTGAGCTAGAAACCGAACAACAATCGTGTAACACGTTTGCGTGAAACCATTAATAAGTCTATCTAGATATGTACATATACCTAAATATTTCGATATTTGTTATTTATTCCTACTATTACTCTCTATACATATATTATATATAATTTCTATGTAAAATCGCTTGTGAGGTACTTATTAGTACTTATATAGTAATAAAGTTTCGAAGCCAATTTACTCAGTACCAACTTTTCCAGTTACATCCACTTTCATAGCATAACTTATGAATACACGACAGTCAGGGAGTCTCTTCCTTAACTCCTCCCTTCGATAGTATACCTACGAACTATCTTACTATTGTAATTTAACTAGGCCCCTTTTGATACCTATTTACTTTGCTCCATTTTCGCACTTTCGGCCTTTCATTTGATATTCTATTTACATGTTCGAACTAACGTAGCATGCCTTATCTCATTCTTTCTGATAGGTAGGTATGTACTATTTATTTCCATAAATATGATTTCAGTTATATATTTATTCCTATGATTACATGGTTATATATTACTGAAACAGTGTGGAGATACTTGGCAAAGAGTTGATATGATTCATCAAAATGGACGTGGCATTTCTAGATATTCTAAATACTAATACGATTGTGTGAACTCGCGTGATTACACCACAAAGGATTTACAATAGTGCATAAAGTGGCAATCATCATACAAAAATAGGAATGTCAGAATGAATATAAACAGGAATGTCTTGGTATCAATTTGGTGATATTTACTAATTTATTAGTATTGGAGTTATATATATATATATATATATATATATATATATATATATATATATATATATATATATATATATATATATATATATATATATATATATATATATATAACACCGACTGAAATAAATTTTACATATCAGACAGAGACCATATATACCTATTTTTAATGAGTTTGATTGATATTATCAGGACAGTAGCTGAGTCATCACTTCGTAACATCGACGTAAAATCGCGCACTTTGATATGTAGGTACGACGTACCAACGCAGTTCCTTGGAATGGCAAAATTTTTATCGCAAGCCCGTTATCGTGGCCGATCATAAATCTGTTTTCAAATCGTGAGTCGCCATTCGTGGCGTATGCTCCATGCAAGTCCATGTTGATGACCGTCTCCAAACGAAAAGGAACCGTCCATTCGGTGCTATAAAGAATAATTTACGATAGCTTCAGACCTCTATTTACCGCGTTTGGTAACCCTCAGAGTTTATTGTCGCAGTGTAGGTATATAAGTATTTACCAATGCACGTAAAATACTAGGCGAGGTTCTCAAAACGCCAGACTTATTTACTATTTGAGTCTGTAGAAATTCAAGTCTTGTTCGTGCATTATTTGAAATATAATGCACGAGCCTACTATATTTTATATTTTATTCTGTAATTCGATTATGTATCACGTTTTTATTTTAAAATTACCAAGATTTTGCATTATGTAAAATTATATTTACCTTTAGCCTGTATAGATATATATTATCTAATGAGATATCTGGACCTAACACAGAATAAGTTTTATTCAGAAACATCTTTGTCAAAGAAGGCTTTATCCATATAATGCTACACTATACTGTACTACTTCTGATATTAGATTATACTCATCGTGGCAAATTTGCATTTTCCTCAGGCCAACTCCATTAGAATTTATAGATATGATATACAATCGTGGCTGCTTGGGCTTGTACCTACACCATTGTACGTTATATTTTCAAGCAGATAAAATCTGGTTTTGAACCAAATTATTATATAATTAAATATGCAGGACATACCTATATATTCCTAGTGAAATATGTTGAAGTAAGAATTCTGGAATTTTACGTTCCTGATTCATATTATTAGTAAAATGTAGAGTCAATGAAGTGACTGAGGTTTAATCGGCCTTGTAGGAAAACTAACTCAGGAATATATTGATCTGAAATAGAAATTAAACGCAGTTTAAAATACAGAATAATAAATAAATAATTATAAGTCTAATTATATTTATTTGGCTGAATTGATATGTAGCAGGCAGATTGCTTAAATGCAACCTTTGTTTGTTGTTTTGTCGACTAGGTTAGTTTACCTATGTTTTACAATTTAAATTTTCTTGCCTTACAGTTTTTTTTTTTACTATCTTATGTTTCAATTTAATAAAAAGTATTCTAAAGTATTTAAAAATAGCATGCTTATATAAATATATAATGCAGTCATTGATTTCTATACAGTTAATTCTATGAACTACTTTTTAGTTAAAATTTCAGTTTCTTAAATAAACTGATGTCCTAAATATGCGAAGTGATCAATATGGTAGGATTAAATAGGGTACTTGCAATTTTTTAATTTTATCATACATTGCATTTAAATTAACATTATTATCACGTAGCCAATTATAAATGTAATGTAAAATATACATATAATAATTAATAATCTGTAAATTTTTATCAGATATTGTATATGCAGATTCCTAAATTCTTCTATTACATTCTCCATCTAGATAATATCCTCTAATATAACTTTCGTGG